AAAATTTTAGTGCTAATTTCAAATGGGTTTTGGAAATATTGTTACTTTAAAATCAGCTATTTTTAGCAGTTTTTTTTTGTTTGGCAGCCATTTTGATTTACATCATGAGCAACTTTTACTTCCGAACTCCCATTGATGCAATTTAAAGGCATAAAACTAATATAAAAATTTATTTATTCTTAACTTATTGAGCTTTTTACGAAAAATACATCTACTACACTTTTAACTAGTTTTAGAAATTATTAAATTATCTTAATTATAATTTCCTAATTTTGGCAAACTTTTCTCCATTATAATATTGATACTTTCAAGAAAAGAAAAGCTGAAAATGGAAGAAGAGGAAAGATTCAGATTTTGACATTGATTCCAGATTCATGGTGTTTAATGAAAGCAGCTGAAGTATTTAATATATCACCGTATCTAAAGCAAGAAAACTTTAAAAAAGAATATTAACACTTCAAGAAAAAACTAACATTGTTAGAATTGAATCAGATATCATTGATAAGGTGGAAAGCTATTATTGGTCAGTTTAGTCAGCAGGTATAAAAGATTTTGTAAATGTATCCAAAAATAAACATGTATTAAAGTGATTACTTCTTTTCTTAAGGGAATTATTTATTGAATTCGAACCTGAGCACCCTCAGATTTTTTATATTTGCTCAGTTGAAGCCAAAATGGTGTATTTATGCTGATCAAAAAGAAACCCATGCTGTTTGCATATGTACAATACACCAAAGTTTGTTGCAGAGTGTCATGAGAATGCATGGTCCATAGATGTAATGATTGCCCTGGAATTCAAAATATTATTAATTGTATAACTGCAAATCTATTGCAAAATAAAGGATTATTGAAGAGAATTACAATAAATAAAACAGTGGAGTACAACAAAGCAGAGCTTCTAACTTACGCATCTACAATAGGTGAATTCATTAAAAATCTTAGAGAAAAACTTGATAGCATAACATCCCACTCTTATATTGCTAAAGCACAAGGTAAATATTCGAATACATTAAAATCATCTACACCCAAAAATGAAATTATTGTTTTGATTGATTTTGCACAAAACTTTAAATTTGTCATACAAGACAAAATTTAGAGTAACCACTGGAACTGACAGCAATGCACACTACATCCTGTATTTATAACAAAAATAATCAGGGTGCTATTAAAAATGAACCAACATTTTTATATATCATGACTTAACATGTGATGATGATTCATTTATTGATGATGATTCATTTATTGTATAGTAAAAAGAAAATATATCTGCAAATATGATATGCTTAACTGGGTTGGTTTAGTACTTGAAGTTGATGAAATAAATCACCACATAATAATCTAACTACATACTAGAACTAGGGCTGTGTTGTTGGCTAAAAACAAATTGTTCCGGCTCCAGAATGTAATTTCTTAAACCAATAGAAATAGCTTTACATTTAATGGCACAGTAAGTACAATGAAAAAAAGTGCAGCAACTCCGGTCTCTAAAAATAATTTTTTATAAATAAATGTTAAAATACCAGAACAAAATAAATTGCTATACAGCCCTGATCAAAACAATGTACAACCAATAAATAATTATTATTATAAAATGGAATTATTTTATTCAAATTCTTTTTTTTACTTTGAACTAAGGTGCAGGCTTGAAGTTGATTGAAATTCAGAAATAAATAAAAAAGAGACTTAAAAAAAAAAGGTTTTTTAAATTTTAAATTTAAAAAATTTAAAATAATAAAAAAGAAATAGAAAAGTCTGTATATTTATTCAATTTGACATAAATGATTTTAATCCTCAATTTTCACCCTAAAGTTGTGAGTTTGTTGGGCTATATCTTGTGAGTTTGTTGGGCTATATGTTTTAAGTTTGTTAAGCTATATGTTTTAAATTTATTAAGTAAAATGATCAATGCTGATGAATTATCTTTATCACAATAAAAAATAAAAAAATTAAAAAAAAAAATGATGGTAAAAATTCCAAGCAAGTAAAAATTCCAAAGCTTGATAAAACTAGAAAAAATTTAATAAATTTTTTTTAAATATTGGCTTTAAAATTAAAATAAGCATAAATTTAAAATTTTTCTTGATGTTGCATTTAATATATTTGAAAATTCATAAAAGCTTTTTAAAAAACCAAATGATGAATTATTGTATAGTAATACTAATTCAAACCATCCACCCTTAGTTCAACTAATAACAGGCCTTACATGGCATTACAGCTGTAGATAATCTGTAAAGGCTAGTTACCATAGTTACCAGTAAGTAAACCATAAAGAAAAAAAAATCCCAAAGGAAAAAAAATAAAAAAATAAAGATAAAAACTTTTAGAACATGAAGAAATATTTGAATGATGCATTTTGCTGAATGGCAAGTCACACAAGGTAACAATGGTAACAACAATGTTTTGGTAACAATGATAACATCTTTAAAAAGTAATTTTGTCAGCTTTTGTAGAAAAGAAAAAAGATGCAATTATAAAAAGAAAAAGAGATTTAGGCATGGCAGCTATATCTGGTGGACACCAGATATAGCTGCCATGCCTGATGAAAAATCCGGTCAACTTTAAATTGAGATTACTCTAAAACCCCAAATATTTTTTATTTCTTTTATTTTTTTAATTAAATGCTACTTCCTTTTCTTTAATTGTTTTGATTTTTGTTTACAAAATTTGCAAAATATTTCGGAAACAAATTGATGTTCGTAAAAAAGTTGTGAATTTTTTTTGCAAAAATCAATCGACTTCATATTGCTTGATTGCTAAATGTACAAATGTCCCAAAATCTACAGCCATAAATATTATAAAAAAGTTCAAGACTACTTAAAGCTTCAAAAGAAAACCTGGAAGTAAACCATAAATCCAAAAATGTTAAGTTGATTTTACGTTCAATAGCAAGAAATTCAAACCAGTCACAGCAAGATCAAGCAAGAAAACTCAAGATTTCACGCTCATATTTTAAAAAAGTACTTAAAAATTCTGGAATTTTTAAGCATTTTGAGCATTTTATAAAAAAAATACACCTTAAAAAAGTTTAAAAGGTGAAATTAAAGGAATTTAACGAGCAAAAATGTTGGTTTAAATAACGGCGGATAAAAGTATGTGCATAATTGAAGACAAAGAAACATATTGCAAGGCAAATTTTTTACAACATGCTGATCAACAGTTTTATTATGAGAACAAAGATAAACCTGTCGATGATCAAATTAAATATATTCGACAATAAAAACTTGCAAGTTCCTTGTGTGGTATGCAGTCCTCAGACGACCTTGAATACCAATCTCTACATCAAAGAATGTCAAAAAATAAAAAGGACTTCCAAAAAAAGTGAATTAATGCAACCAATAAGGTGAAAAAAGAAAAAAATCTGCGAAATGATGGCATCAACCCGCTAGAAAATTCGATCTCTTTCCAAACAGCTTATCAAGCTACTTAAAATTAAGTTGAAACTAATTGATGTAAACACATTTTATAATAAAAAAATTAAATAAAAAGCATTTATGGTTTTAGATAAATCTCAATTTAAAGTTGACCAGATTTTTCTGTGTCCACCTGATAGCAGCTAAAACTTTATAATGGATCTGGTCTAAAACATTATTATAAGAAACATCCTAACATGACAATATTATTTTATACATAAGATAAGGGATATAATATAGAATAGATAAGGGATTAATACAGAGAGAGAATCAGGAGAAAAATAATGGCAAGCATAAAGCTTAATAAAGATAAATTTAATTAAGATAAATAATTTCTACATTCTGATATCTTAGTAAACAAGTTAAGGGGTTGCCCATAAACTGTCGCGCTCTAAGAGGGGAGGGGTTGTGGATGGAAAAATCTCGTGATTTTGTGACGACTTGTATGGGATTTGTTACTAAAGAATTATGATGTTGTGACAAGGAGGGGAGAGAGGGGGTAAAAATGGTGAAAAATTATGTAGCATAAATTGTGGATGATCCTTAAATTAAAATTGTTAAATAGTTTCTAAGCAAAAAAGTCATCTCAATATTACGTGTTAAAAGATACAACTTCAGCACTAAAACGTTAAAAAAACACTTATGTTAATTCTTTGTTTTGAAAGATGGATATTAAGTGAATATAATTTAATCCAACAACTTGTTCAAAAAAAACAATATTAAAGAAGTTTGTAACAAAAATAGTAATATATAAATTAAAAAATACAAAAACCTTACCAGATGCTAATTTGCATTTAATCAAATAAAAGGTAAAAGTTTCCATAAGACATTTCCATAAAAAATAGGAAGAACATAAAGAAGAAGACTAAGTTAGAGTGATGCCATTTAATACTTAATTTAAGTGTTCAACCCAAGAAAATTTATTTGTTTATTTATCTTAATATTATTTTTGTTTCATTACTAACCTTGTAAAAATGCATTTAAAAGAGAATATTTTTAGTAAAAATGTTTTTTTTATCAAAAAAAAAACACTGTGACTAGCGCAAAGATAACTTTGCTTCAATTTTTTATCTTAAAGCCACAGTAGTTAAGTCTGATTGGTTCAAAGTCAACTATCAATTGTCTGATTGGTTGAAAGTCAACTATCGATTGGCAGCAACTAGGATTACTTAATTTTAAATGCTTTAAACATAAATTTAGAAATTGCTACAAAACTTTCATTGAATAATTAGCCTTGTGTCAACACTCTAGTGTTCATTAAAAGTACATTGTTATTTATTATTTACATACATCAACTGATACAGGGATAGGCGCAGCAATACCCACATATAAGTTGATGTATGTGCATACATCAACTAATATGGGGATACACATTGATCTTTTAATCATAGAAAAAAAATCAACCAATCAGAAATCACTCAGTGACTTTTAGAAAAAAATCAAAGCAACGGTATAATTGCACAATCAACAGCGAAAAAAAAAAAATGAAAACAGTAACTTTGATGTTTGAACTTAAAAAAAATTTTGTTCAAAAACAACTCAAAATCAATTTTTAAAATTGAAATTAAAAAATTTTAAAACAAAAAGTACCTTAATATATTTGGAGACCACAACAAGTACATTTGCTCTTTTTGTAGAACTTCATACATTTCAGGCTTTTCGTTATTTTTTAGAGTTTCCCTTAAACACTTTACAGCCTCATGCATAATAGCAAGTACCATTAGTGCAAAACAACTTGCAGCCATTTCTTTTAAAGATAACTTTTTATATAATTTATAAAAACTTTATATATATATATATATATATATATATATATATATATATATATATATATATATATATATATATATATATATAAATATATATATATATATGTATATATATATATATATATATATATATATATATATATATATATATATATATATATATATATATATATATATATATATATATATATATATATATATATGTGCAGTAAAATAGTAGTGCGTATTTTATTTTTCTATCAACAAACTTTGAACATAAAAATATATTTTTCTATTATCTGTTTTTTATCTGTTCATAAACTAAATGTTGCAATTATAATAGAATAAAAAAAAATTAAGAAAGATTATTGCAGCGCTGTATGGTTTTAAATTTCAATATTATTGATTGAAGGTCATTCGTATTTTTTTTTGACAGTGCAATAAAATAGTAGTGAAAAATTAATTTTTGTGTAATAATTGTTGTACTTTAATTTTAATTATTTTTAGTTCTTAATAATAAGTAATAAGGAAGTAATTAATTTTGATATTAGATAAATTTAACACTTACTAAAATTTTGAAATTTTAGAGAAACATGGGGCGCTCTAAGAATTGTACTGAAGAAGTTTGTAATTTAATTATAAATCTTAAAAATCATGGTAAAACCTACAAACAAATACAAAAATTAGTTGTATGCTCACCAACAATGATTTGTAATGCTTTAAAATGGAAGCCCAAACTAGAAAAACATGGAAATAAAAGATCAACTATCACTATAGAAGATTGTTGAATTGTATCGTTAGCGAAAAAGAAGCCATTTATTGCTTCTAGAAAAATTGAAGAAAGGCTAGAATTAAATGTTAATACCTCAACTATTCGAAGACGATTAATACATGCCAATTTAAATGAAAGAACACCTAAAAAAAAAAGAAAAGTGCCACTTTTGAGTAACAGACATATCAAAAATCGTTTAAAATTTGCATGTATGCATGCTTCTTGGCCTAAAGAAGAATGGTGAAACATTTTGTGGACTGATGAAAGCGAAGTTAAAATTTTTGGTTCCTATGTTCGTAAAACAGATTATTAGAAGACCAACGGATGCAGCTTATAAGCCACAATTTACATTAAAGACCATCAAACATGGAGGTTCAAAAATAATGATATGGGGTTGTTTTTCTTACTATGGTGTTGGACCTATACATCGCATATAAGGTATCATAGATTGGTTTGTAATTGAGAAATGTCATTAAAATTTTTGTTCCAGCAGGATAACGATCCCAAACATACGAGCAAGTTAGCCAAATTGTTGTTTAATAAGAACAAAATCAATGTGATGGAGTGGCCACCACAATCCCCCGACCTCAATCTGATTGAAAACTTGTGAATTGATGTTAAACAAGTAGTTTCTGAAAATAATCCAAGAGGTTGCAAACAATTGTGGGACGTAGTACAGTAAGTATGGCAAAATATATCTGTCGAACGATGTCAGAATTTGTTAATTCAATTCAACGAAGATGCTTGGCGGTTATTACAAATAAATGTCATGCCACAAAATACTAATGTAGAACTTCAAAAAAATTTTTTTTTTTGTAATAAAATTTAATTATTTTTTGAACTTTTCATAAAAAATGATTTTCACTACTATTTTATTGCACAGTCTATAAAAAAAATACGAATGACCTTCAATCGATAATATTGAAATTTAAAAGTGCTGCAATTATCTTTTTTAATTTTTTTTTTATACTATTATAACCACAACATTTAGTTTATGAACAATAACGATAAAATACAAACAATAGAAAAATATATTTTGATGTTCAAAGTTTGTTGATAGAAAAATAAAATATGCACTACTATTTTACTGCACACGACTGTATATATATATATATTATATATATATATATATATATATATATATATATATATATATATATATATATATATATATATATATATATATATATATATATATATATAATGTATAAAATATTAAAATATTTTGAATTGAATAACTTCATAGGTCAAAATGAAACTCTAGACTTACCACCAGAATTTTTAGATTTCCAACCCTTGAACAAAATTGTTACATCAGGTCGAAACATTAAATGATCCTAAAAAAATTTATTGTGTTAGAAATATATTAATAAACATTATTAGAAATGTATTAATAATTTAATTTATTGGAAATGTATTAATTAATTAAAAAAAAATTAATAACTGTATTTATAGTGAGACCACTATTTGTCAAAAACACTTTAATACTTCGGTCACTAACTAAATATTGAAGATGCCAATGAATGATTGTTAAAAACATTTTCACAGCAATGAATAAAAAGGTAACCAAGTAATCATTAATCTCCTTTATTTTATGTAAGTAAGTAATTATTGATCTATTTTATTTTTTGTAACCAAGTAATCATTTATCTCCTTTATTTTATGTAACCAAGTAATCATTTATCTCCTTTATTTCATGTAACCAAGTAATCACTTGAAAAATCTTTAAGCAATTACTTGGTTTTTTGCAAATAATTGAACTTAAGTCTTCAATCTAGCAAACATAACATTGGTGAATATTAAAAATTGTATAACAAATGTCAAAGTTTTATAGTTTACAACGTAATTTTCGTTAACGTGGCATTTGTTTGACTCAGCCATAGGTTAATTTTATTTGCTGAGTAAATTTGTTTTGTTCCAATCATGTTACACTGTTACACATCATGTTACACATCATGTTACACTGTTATTAATCATGTTACACTGATATTAAAAAAAGAAAAGCAGTAGTAAAAACAACTTGTAAATAAAAAATAAAGCTGTATTGAAAAAACTTGTAAATAAATTTAAAAAAAAACTGTAGTAAAAAAAGCTAGGAAAACTTTCATATAAAACGCTAAAAATTTAAAAAAAAAACTGTAGTAAAAGAAGCTAGGAAAACTCTCATATAAAACGCTAAAACTTTTTGCAGTTCATAGGTCAGAGGGGGAAACGATAAGGAACTGTGCATTGTTTGAATAATGATCTTTCTAGTGGTTTCTAGTGGTCCACATTATAAATCCTGATCTGCAAAACATAACAGGAAGAGTATCTAATAGTAAAAAAATTCTTCCATTTCATATTAAAATATAAAAAATGCAACTATAAAAAATTATGTCATGTTAAAATAAGAAAATGAAATTATAGAAACCTGTCTAAATCAGTGAATTCGATAACAATAGACTTTCTTACAATTTTATGTGCATATCTTTATAGTATGAAATGGTTTCTTATGAGCCAAATAGCACCCAATAAATTAAATGCACTTATATAAGAGATGGAAATAAGACTAAGAACAAGTCTTTTAGTTAGCTGGGGTTGAATATTTATACAATTTAAATAAAGGTTTTATATAATATAATAACATTTATAAATATCATTAATATAATAGCATTTTATTACCATTTTATTGTGGTGCTTTGGTTTCAACTGAAATTATATATATTAAGCAAATTTCGAAAAAAAAATTTTAACTTTTTTTAATGTTTAATTAAAGTTATTTATATGTATTACTAGTTTTTTTTATTTGTTTGTTTTCTTTTTTATATTTATTATTTAATCAATGCAAATTGATTTCAATTCCCTTAACCTTAATGCACTTTAAATTATCAAATGCTAATCTTCATCTCCATGATAATCTTCATCTTCATGAAGATTAATACATCTCACTATTGTTTTTTCATTAGTACATCACTATTATTTTTTGACACCAGGCAAGGATAATAAAACTTATTCTATACTTTTTTTTCCCTTTCAAATGGTATATATTGGATTTAATATTAATTACAGAAAATGATCATATTGAAAAAATTTAAAAAAATAGTGATTATTCAGAATTATTAAAAATTAGTAAAATTATTATTATTAATTATTAAAATATTCAATATGATCGTCAGAAAGTGAAAATGAATTTTTTTCAAAAAAAAATATTTTATCACTTGATGGCATATAAAAAATGTTTTTGATTTCCAAATAAACTGTTTGTGCAACAAACTATAACCTCGATAGTTTTGCGCAACAAACTATAACCTCAATAGTTTTGTGCAACAAACTATAACCTCTATAGTTTTGTGCAACAAACTATAACCTCGATAGTTTTGTGCAACAAACTATAACCTCGATAGTTTTGTGCAACAAACTATAACCTCGATAGTTTTGTGCAACAAACTATAACCTCGATAGTTTTGTGCAACAAACTATAACCTCAATAGTTTTAGGTCTTTAAAAGAACCTTTGATCCTGAGCTGATAATAATTTTAATACTGGGTTGTTCTTTATTGAACGATGAAAAGATTTAAAGAACCTATTGCTGTTAAATCGGGTATTGTTGTTATTAGTTTTATTGCCTCAAAATTAACTAGTATATGGGAGCTCTTTGACTTTATATGACTCTTATCCTTGTAGAATAGGAATGTTATCAAAATGTTATTTATATCTTAAGATATAAATGCTTATTGATAGGTAAAGAAGTTTTTAAAAATCCTTAAAAAATTTTTTAAAAATTAAAATAAAATATTAAAGTGAAATTTATATATTATCTGCACTTCTTTTTTTTGATCATTTGTCAATTTATAGACTCTAAAACTTTAGATAATAGATAGCCTCGGACAAATCTTATTAAATTAAAAAAAAATGTCTTAAATCAGTATCAAATCAAAACCTTAAAATTATCGCTCTTTGATAATTTGGAATACGGATGTATAAGTTTTTTTTTTTTTTTTAATGTATAAGTTGTTACAAAAGATTCTTTAGTAGTTTAAAGTTATTTATACATAAAAAAAAAAAATGAAGTGTCATTTAAAGTTTTATGATTTATAAATATGGCATTTTATAATATTTTGATATTGGTATTATATATAGTGATAGAGTGCTAAAGATTTGTGCTCACTTAAGCACAAAAAGTGCTATACTTTGAGGCATAAAAGATTTTCATATTTTACCAATTATATTTGAGCTGATATAAAGTTGTTTCTTGTTTACATTCAAAAATGCGTAAGCATGTTTGAATGTAAACAAGAATAATTTAGAGAGAAAAAAACAAGAAACATAAATAGTTTAGAGAGAATTGAAGAGATTTCTTCAGAACTCTCTTCAATTCTCTCTAAACTATTTAATAAATGCTTGACTGAGTCTTGTTTTTGTGTGGTAAATGGCATCTGTTGTCCCAATTTTCAAAAACTCTGAACATTCTGACACCTCCAACTATTGCCCAATGTTTTTTTGGTTAATCTCTAAAGTATTTTATCAAAATCTCTGAGTATTTTATCAAAAAAATTTCTTACATCTAATTTAGTCAAATAAATTACTGTCAAAACCAATTAATACAGTTTTCGATCCTATCGCTCTACAGCTTACTTGCTAACTGCTGTGACTGAAAGATTTCATCACGCATTAGATGGAGATAGAGAGGCTAGGACTAATGCTATTGACATATCTAAAGCTTTCAACAAAGTTTGGCATGCTAGTCTTCTCCATAAGTTTGTTTCAAATGGTTTATCCAGAAAAGTTTTCTTCCTGATAATCTTATATTTAAAGTAGCTCTTTTTGCTTTTCAATCGCTTAGAAAAAGCAGCTGATTTTGAATCTGATCTCACTTCTATAACAGATTGGGGCTAACAGTGGCTTGTAAGCATTTGCTAAGGTTGCTTCTTATTAATGTGCTCCCCATTTTCTTACTTCTGATTCCATTCTCTACCTCTATAAATCTCTTATTTGTCCTTGTATGGAATACTGTTGTCATATTTGGGCTGGTTCTTTTAATGATGCTCTTTCACTTCTAGACAAGGTCCAAAATCACATTGTAAACATAGTTTGAACCACACTATATGTGCTAAGCTTTTTTCCCATTGTCATAAAGTTGTATCTCTTCCTCATAAAGTTGTACCTCTTCCTCTTACAAAAGTTATTGAATGAGATGGTAACAAATGCTTTTGTTATCACCTCATTCAATAATTTGTTTGGAAATTTTAATTAACTTTTAACTTATTTTCTTATATTTATCTATGATATACACGCAACTTTAGGGATCCCTTTAAAGGGACTACCAAGTCCCGAGACATGTTGTGTTCATATTAAAGAGAACGTTAAAAAAAACGTCTGAGCAAATTTTAATTAATTAAATTAAATTAAATTTAATTAAATTAAAACTAATTAATAAATGTATATCAAGAAAAACAAATCTTGTTGTTTTAGTCGAAGCTTGTCTTCTCCATTTTCTGCGGTATTTTGAGTATGTAAAAAAAAAGTGAATTTCCAGGCGCATTATACAGACTTGATAATTTATTCAAGCGTGTTTAATTCAAAGGAGTTTTAGTGCATGACGTCAACCTTTAATTGTTTACATAATCGATCTTTTGCGCAAACAAAAACAAAAAAAAAAACAATGACATCACAAGCCTTCACAGGAAAGGCGTGCGGTTTTTCGTTATTTAAAAATACTTCAAAAATCAATAATTATAAGTCAATAAAATAGAATAAACAAGACATTTGTTGAGACTATCATGTCATGAAAGTGCTAGTTTTTAATTTTAAAGCAAAAATCAGGGTTCTAAATTTATGAAATATACCTGGCACCATTTTAAAAATATTATGGCACAGCACTTATCAGAAAATGTGAACAAAAGTGTATGCAAATAGTTAGCTTATATAAACTTCAAATTATGTAATGTTAAAACATCAATTTTAACAGTTTTTTACTTAAAAATTGAATTGCAGCAACATTGCATAAGGCATTTCCAAAAAATCATGCACAGAAATTCTTTTTTTTTTTTTTCTATTATTTTTTAATAAAAAAACTGGCGATCTCCAATTTGCTTTAATTCTAACCTATATAAATATTTTGTAAACAAAAAATGGTATACATTAGTAATGTTTACAAAGAATAAATTAAGTTTAAAGCAGAATCACACACATAACAAAAAAACTTCAATTGTAGTTACTAGATAAATGAACTTTAATTCCTCAGAAAAAAATATTTTTAGCCCAACATATTTTTAAATATTGTTTTAAACATTAGTAAAGCTTTCCAGAAAGTTATAGGACTGCACTATGTATCATAAAGTTTCAGCAACTGTTTAAA